CTTTTCTGCCAAAAGCCAAGGATTCGACCCCGCCGCAAAGACAACCAATGTCTTTATGAATCGTTCGTTTGCTTTGATGTTAAGCCAGTACTGGCATGCGTCAGAGAATAAAACTGCCACCGGTATCCATACATAAGTAATCTTATACAAGAGAATCGTCGATACCCTTGCCAGCTTGTAGCTGCTCTTCGGATATGCTACCAGTAAAGCTACTTCCGACCGATCAACTCCTTGCCCCAGAGACAGTGGACTAAGAAGGGTATTTTGGCTTTAACTGCAAAAACTACTCTGCGAGTACAATCAAACTACAGATTGGATTTCATCATGGCAAACAGTAAGATTCCAGATATTGACAATTGTTATTTTCGGTAATCATCAAGTACAGGCATTGACGATAAGGTTAAGCTATTTGAACCAGCCATAAACATGAGAAATATAAGCTGTTCTTATTACCAACTTTCCAATGCTGATCTCCGAGAAATCTTCCTCGCTTTCCCTTCAGAACCTCATCCATTTGAGCCTGGATTTATAGTTCAAAGATATCAACTCAAATTATTAACCTTATTCTCAGCCTCTTCGTTGCTGAAAAGTACTTTGGCGCCACAATCCCTGGAAGCATAGTTTCTTGGCGTGGCTTGCTGAGGAATAATGTCCGGTGATGGAAGACTGGTCACATCATGTGCTGCTTTGGGAATGGAATTCGTGCGACCTGAATCTGCATTTGAATTTTCGTTGGCATCCACCGGAACAATGTTGATGTGTTGGTGATTCTAAAAAGCAGGACGACTAAACGAAACAAAAGGAAGCCTCCATGAATTTAACGGCTAAAATCAGAATATCGCCTTCAGACCGGAAATGGAGCATCACTAGCCAAAGAGATCCTACTTTAGCCCATTCCACTAAGCTCAGGATCTTGGAGCACAGTTTTTGCTTTGCATATGAATTAACAATTGTTCCAAGTATTTCAAAGTGTTGTGGAAATTTTAAAAATACAAACAATGAATATCCTCGGCTAGGCGATTGGAAGAGAACGAGGGTCTGAAATCTTCTATGTATTAACATATGCAATTTTGTCACTCATCCTAAAATAATACAGGAAAAATAACCTGATGTTGCTGCTGCTCGGCCTTACGTATCTCTTCCCTTTTAAGCTTCTCCTTTGTCCATTCATCGAATGTAGCAATTGGTGGTTGCTCGGTGCTCAGCACATCAACTCGGCCTGTTTCTTTTGCAACCGGTACAACTCGCGAAATGTCAGTTTGAAGGCTTCTGAATTGCAAAATTTTAAGCAAAAACAAAAAGTATCTCTCATCTATCATGTACCATTCGCATAAATTTGTGCGCCACGTCGTAGTCATTAAGCGTTTTTCGATGCATCTCTGGGCCCGGAATTCAGTGCCTACGCAAGTTCTTCCAGTTAATTTACTATGCTCGCTCGCTTGCGAGTGATAATAGGCATTAAAAACAGCAGGGCTGCTAAAGGGTGCACAAACCACAGTCTTAAAAAAATCTAAAATTTCTTTCCAAAGGAACCAAAGAAGGAAGTAAACATGCAAATGCCAGAATTACGAGCAGGCTGACCACAGGTGATGCACTGCTGACCACAGTATCCCGACAAAGAACACGAAAGATGGGCTACGATGATCAAACATTTAAACAAAACTATTACTTATAAATTTAAGACCACAGGAAAGCAAGTTCAGGACAAGAACTAGCAATTGAATCAATCAGATTTGCCAACTGCCAGTAATTCGAAAAGCGCTCACCAATAACCATCAGAAATTCTTTTCCACGGGTCTTCAAATACCACTCAGGGTATGAAATGTGAGATAATTACTGATTCTTTGCTTCAGGATCTCTGAGGGCACTGACAGGGATAACTATATCAATCCTAAGTGCATCATGAAATTTGAGACAAAAATAAGCACTACTTACTCCAGATCAAGAAGTCGCTCAGACTCCGGAACACTTTTGGATTCCGCAGCAATCTGCTCCGTTCCATTAT